GATGAGATGTTCAATACATGAAGATAACAATGGTTTATGCATCTCAACAGGTTTACAGTAAAATGTCCAGCAGCTGAAAGGTTTCAGTCCGTTCTGCAGCAGAGCTGGTAGAAACTCGTTACATTTACATGAGTAACTGTTTAGGAGCGTTTATACTACATGTGCTTTTTATTCAAGTACTTTAATTGCAAAGTTGTTCTACTCTTGTGTAAATGATCTGGATTTACTACCAAATACTTCTTCACTCTTGCTCGAGTTCTCCTCTCCCTAACATTGTGTTTATTCTTTAACATCCTCGTCAAACTCTGATATAATTTTATCCAGATGTTATTTTTAGCCAATCAGTCAACTGATCTCATCAGTTTGACCCAATAAGAATCAATCAATCAAGCATCCAATCAAATCTACTTGAAGGAACAGATTCCCAGACCTGAGACCTGCAGAGCAGAGCTTTGAAGAGCTAAATTTAATAACCATTTAATATAATGAAACTTCATTTTCCTGTTTCTCATCTCATGTCACAGTTGGAAACCCGGTCTGTTTGGACATTTTAAATGGATTGTTTTTATGTTGCACCACATTATTAACCTCTGTGTGAGATAATAATCCGAAATGAATGCAGAGCCTTTGTCCCAGTTAACACAGTGATTTTCTATGTCTTCTGAATGGTGACATCACCAGCTGATTGAAACCAGACAAGCAACACGGCGTTTAAATATCAGACATAATCTTCATATTTAAATATAAAATGTTTATCTTCATGGAAATTCTCTTTTAAAATAACTTTTCTGCCGTTTTCACAGATTTTCTGTTTTTGGTTCAACAGCCGTTATATTTGGGTCAAACGGCATTAACCTTGTTTTTGCTGAGCATCCAGGTCCAATCAGCGCTCTCTGTCTGCCTGCGTCTGACACGCATGGAGCCGTTTCCCATTTCTGCATCCAACTCTGTCTCCTTTCATGCTTGTCAAGATTAAAAGTTCATCGAGTCAAAAATATTTCAGGCCAGGAAGGTGCTACTTGTGTTTTATTAATGAGCAGCTAAGAGGCTGCTGCAGGGCATCCCCCATTAGCATAGTGCTGGGTTTGTTAGCTGATCCGTAAACACAGGGCAGGATTGGAGCAGTTCAGACACCAAATCTCGAGCAGCAGAATCAGCAAAGGTGAAGACGAACAGAAAGGTGTGAGCCCTGAAAGACGGGGGCAAAGGTCGCAGAGAGCAGCAGAGGGAAGGCAGGAGAATATTCCATTTTACAGGGAAGTCACAAGGGATTTGTGAAACCACTTAACACAGGACACGTGTCTGTCCATGCACACACACACACACACACACACACACACACACACACACACACACACACACACACACACACACACAAAGCTCCCTAAAGGTATCTATCTGTCTTTGTCTGAGCTGCTCTCGCTGAACTGAACACGCCCTGCATGGTGGCATCGCCAGATTTACCGCTGCTGGTTCTCTCATCAGTTCTGTCTGCAACCTTAGAAAAATGTTGAAATGAATCTACTTACAAAGCTTCAAATTGTACAGAAGAAAAGTACAGGCACATGTCAATAAATGAAATGATCAATGGAAGCTAATTTGAACTAACATAGTGAAATTCCTACAAAGAGCTGGGCAAGAAATCAATCACAATACATATGTTAAAAACACATGATAGATAATATATCTGATAGAATATTTAGTAATTTATCTTAATTCTGATTATTATTTGTTTATTCCATTTAGTTTAAATTAATAAATAACATGTTGACATAAACAATTTGAATGAAAAGGAAAAGTTTGAAGGAAATGATCTAACCGAACCCTAACCCTAACCCCTAACCCCTAACTTAACCTTACACCAACCCCTTATCTCACAATATAATTCATTACATTTCAACTAAGCATCAATAAACCATCATCTATATGGAAACATCATTAACAAATGATGGCTGTTTGTGTGTGTGTGGAGGGGAGTGTGAGGGGGAGGGTGCGTGTGTGTGCATGTGTGTGTGTGTGCGTGTGTGTGCGTGTGTGTGTGTGTGTGTGTGTGTGTGTGTGTGTGTGTGTGTGTGTGTGTGTGTGTGTGTTTGATCAGGATGTGAACCAATGCGCTGATTGATCCACAATCCTTTCTTAGCATCAACTTTTTTGTTTCGTAATCAATTTTCGGACGAAGACAATCAAGCGACGACATGCTGGTCAAAGTGCTGAGATAAAAGCAGCGATAAAATTTAACGGCCAGTTAAAGCTATTAAGCTGTTTGCATTAATCTTTCCAGAGGTAAAAGGAAGCTTAACTCTGCTACCAACTGTATGGAGATGAAGCTGCAGATATAGAATCAGTTCCTTCCTGCCATTAAAAATCTGCTGCTGGTTCTGTTCTGTCTGGTAAAAGAAAAGGCAGCACATTCGCTAATGGACAACAAAAAGGATGTCAAAATATTCACGTTAAAAAAGCAGAAACCAAATAAAACACTTCATTAAGTGATGCAGAAAGGGGCAGACCAGGAGCTCCACTCAGATCCAAACACTTCAGCTCATGTGTCGCATTTTTAAACATTACGTTATTAGAATTACACTTCAGTTGTTTTTTTGTCTCCACAAATTATTGTTTTATTTAGGATTGTAATTATTTTGTACTCAAGTGAAAGTCTGAATATGTCCCTCATTCTGCTTTATTAAAGGCAGAATGATAGAAAAATTGCTTGAAAAATGCCTGAGTGCAGTACTTAGACTGTGTTGTGCAATGTAACTGTTTAATTCTGTGATCAATAATTAGTTGGTTTTTAATAACTGATGACAAACATCAATGCATATGTTGGATTTTTTCTCATTTTGAAGGGAAAATTTGAATAAAAAAAGCCCGATTACCAAACATGGTTGAATTTTGATTTGTTTCATCGACCAAAACATCAACATGAGCCGCTGCACACAGAAACCCTGAGCAGCGCCGTGCGCAGGGAGTCTCCGCCGCCGTCTCCAGGTCGGGGACAACACAGAAGGTCGGGGCCCCCTGCTGCTCCCTGATGGCGCAATTAGAGCTCCGCTACAGGAAAACGTGAAACATGGTCTCTCCTCTGAACCAGAACATTGTTACACTAATTAATAACTTGGCTGCGTCAGGGTAGCTTTGGAAAAGAAACAGCAGGAACATGAATGACGGCAGCAAGGAGGAAACATTTCACTGCAGAAAATCCACAACCTTTTAAAACAGAAGAAATGTATTCATGTGTCATTTTACGCCTGCAGCAAACTGCATTTCAGTGTGCTGAAGTTCAAAGGCAGATCAAGGCAGAAACCTGGATAGCTAGCGTTAGCTTTAGCATGATTCGCAGAAAAACATGGCAGACCTGAGGCTGAAGCTGAGACCCAAACGTCTTTACTGATGTCACAGCAAACACAACCTTCAACCAGCGATTTGATTGTTTCCATTCATATCAGTGTTGTGATTAAACCCTAAAATAAATCCTTTCTTCTGAATCTGATGGTTCATAGTGGCTCCTTTTGGTCAGTTTCAGTTTCTTTGACAGTTTTCTTCCTTCCAGAATAAAACAAGCTGATAAATGTCCATAACTGGACAGAAATCCAAACCATAGAGAATAAAAAATGTTTCCTTAAGTTAGAAGTTGAGCTTAAGCTGCTGAAAGTCTTTACTCCTGAGTTTTGATCTCGTGGCCTTCAGATGGCGATCAGTTTTCCTCCAGCAGAAGTTTGTAAAACAGCAGCTGTTACCACAGCCGGCTGAGCAGCTGATCGCTTCGTCACAACGCTCAGCATGCGGAGCTGATCACAAGTTGTTTCTTTTTGCATCACATGAGGCTATTTTAGGTTCAAAGCTGTTGAAAAAAGTATTGTGTGAAAGAAAAGTTGTCACCCATTCATGCGTTTGCAAAAATATTCTTTGTTACAGCTGAAAATACTGGCAGTCAAACTCCTGATCAGACTCTGAGGAGTTTTAAGATCATCTGCATCCTCTCAACATCCAGCCATGTCCTCTGAACCTGGATTAATATTTTAACGCCTTCAGGCCATAATCATGTCGCAGCTCCACAGTCTGAGCCCAGATCCAGACTTTTCGTAAAACGGCCCATTAATGCAAACTTATGAGCTCATAAAACAGTTGAATGAACATGTGCAGGGCTGCAGAATGTGAGATGAAAAGAAATTACAGTGAAGCTGCTCGCTTCCAATCCTAATGGCTGAGATCTTCCACTGCTGGAAGGAAGAGCTGCAGATTTCAGCCTCCTGCTGGGCAGGAAGGGCGTCTGTCTGAGCGCGACCGTCAGCCTGGTTCCAACACTCCGGCTTAGAAAGTCATGTTTCACAGGGATGAAGCAATTAATAAGATTAATCAATTATTGAAACAATTAGAAACTAATCTAGTAATGCATTAATTATTAACTACAGTTTACAGACTCAAAAAAGGCAATTTACTTAAAAAAAACTAATTTAAAGCAGTAATGATCCAAAACTGTGCAGAATATATAGATTTAGCAAAAAGATCAGTTTTAGCTTCAGTCAGTTCAGATTCACTAAAGGAATTTTATTTTATTGCATTTTATGCAATAAAATTTATATTTTCTTATTCAAAGTTGGAATTGAATTTATTTTCATATTTCAATGTTTTTCTAATATATTAAAAATACTTCAGTGGTTCAATAAAAAGTGTGGAGAATGTTCCAATTTTTTTTTCTGATTAATTATAACTTGATCAATTAATCAATTACCAGAATAATCAATGCTTGCAGCCATTATGTTTGTTAGTCATATGTTTTGTATTATTCAGGATTGACAGGTAATTACCAAACGTTTTTTCTTTAATAGTTGCAATGTTCTGACCTGAGAGGTTCTAATAAAAAACTGCTTTTTATTAGAAATATTTTGTGAGTTATTTGCATTTGAAATGAACAAATTTCACTTCTTCTGCAGCAAAACAAGCAGAAACCTTTTTCAGCAGGAAGTAAAATCAGACGTTCATGTTTCTGTTTCTCTTCTCAGGTTGTGAAATTGAGGAGCATCTCCCTGAGGCCCCCTGCTGACTGATAACAAGCACTGCGTGGGAGCTCAATGAGTGTGTGCAGCTAACCAGCGCTCCACCGGGGGGTGTGTGTGTGTGTGTGTGTGTGTGTGTGTGTGTGTGTGTGTGTGTGTGTGTGTGTGTGTGTGTGTGTGTGTGTGTGTGTGTGTGTGTGGCACCATGCTGTGGACGGTGCTGCTGGCGCTGCTGGTGCTTCTCCTGCTGCAGACTCAGCTCTCTGTTTGCTTAAGGGATCTGCGCGGCGGGGGGTCCGTTTCACCTCTTCACTCTCCTCCTCCATCGTCCTCCTCTTCCTCCCCCTCCTCAGCATCATCATCATCCTCCTCCTCTTACAACGCTACCCAGCAGCGGCTGCCCGGAGCCATCATCATTGGCGTGCGGAAAGGCGGCACCAGAGCCCTGCTGGAGATGCTCAACCTGCACCCAGACGTGGACGTGGCGAAGGCCGAGGTAAAACTCACCAATCAATCAGGGATCGTGGAGCAAATCGTCAACTTTTAGTCATCATGAAGTAAAGATGCACAATCTCCAGAAATTTTACTGAACAGTTTGTATGTTTGACTGAAACTTTAGCATCGTTTGGGTGGTTCAAGGCCAGGCTAGAGGTTGTATTTACCCAGAATGCTCGGTGCTGTGGTACACTTCCTGGTCCACTTGGCGTTCACATATGCATCCAAACTGAACGAGGTTTCACTTCAGTGGAACTGAGTCTGAGGTTTTCTGCAGACCAGAGTTGAATTACTTGGTCTGATTATTTGTTCATACTTTCACAAGCGAACCAAAGTTTCTAGACAAACAAACTGGAGTTTTATAAAAGCAGACTGAACCGAGTTGGAGTGAATTCATCCTTATAGTATTTAGAGTGAAAAGTTTTTTGCCACCATGGCAATGATTAAGAGTATCTGAACCATCTGAATCAAATCAACTGTGCATTAGAGAGTCAGTCAGAAAGCCTCTTATGGTTTGCATTTATAGTCAATAATCAATATTCCTGCAGACTAGCGGTGTCCAAAATGTGACTTGGGAACATTTCTGGTACGGCTCTCTATAACAATTAAAAAGTTGCCAAATTTTGGATGGAATGTCAGAGTGCAAATTTAAGTGAGTCATTTGAAGAAACTTATTCACAAATCACTTCTTATGTTGAAGATGTGAGTGATGAAGCTGTCAGGGTGGAGGGCGGCTCTGTTTGGTTTCCTCCTGGGTTTGCATTGTTTGTCTTTAGTTTCTGTTTGGATTAATCATGATTAGTCATGATGGTTAATCATGACTAATCATGATGATTAAGCATGATTAATCATGATTAGTGATTAATCATGATTAATCACTAATCATGATTAGTCATGATGGTTAAATCATCATGATTAATCATCAATCATGATTAATCATGACTAATCATGATGATTAGTCATGATTAATCACTACTCATCATGATTAGTGATTAATCATGACTAATCATGATTAATCATCATCGTTCAGTCTTGGCTCGTTGATTCTTCATTTTAAACCTTTCCAGGTCCACTTCTTCAACGTGGAGGAACATTTCCGCCGGGGTCTGGCCTGGTACCGAGCCCAGATGCCCTTCACCCTGCCGGGCCAGCTGACGGTGGAGAAGACCCCCGGCTACTTCGCAGCCCCCCAGGTTCCGGTTCGGGTGTGGGACATGAACCCGGCCGTCCGGCTGCTGCTCATCGTCAGGGACCCGGCGGAGAGGCTGGTCTCCGACTACACCCAGGTCCTCCACAACCGCCTGACGCAGCACAAGCCCTACCAGCCGCTGGAGGAGCTGCTGCTCCACCAGGGCCACATCAACCACGGCTACAAGGCGCTGCAGAGGAGCCTGTACCACCTGCACCTGGCCCGCTGGCTGGAGGTCTTCCCCCGGGAGCAGATCCACGTGGTGGACGGCGATGCGCTCATTCGGGACCCATTTCCCGAGCTGAGGAAGGCGGAACGGTTCCTGGACCTTCCACCCAGGATAAACCCCAGCAACTTTTACTTCAACACCACCAAAGGCTTCTACTGCCTGCTGTCGGCTGGACACGATAAGTGCCTGGACGAGTCTAAAGGCCGACCGCACGCTCCGCTGAGCGCGCAGGCCTTGAAGAAGCTCTGCAGGTTCTTCAGGAAGCCCAACAAACTCTTCTTTGAGATGGTGGGAAGGTCGTTCTCCTGGTGCTGATGACACCGTCAGGGACAGACGGAGAGGAAAACTGTTTCTGATGGCAGATGACTTTTTTCTAAATACCTTCTCAGGTAGAAATGCGCTGCACTCACGTGGAAGTGACTGAAAATCTGGTGGATAAAACCCGAACCAAGCCGGTGCCTCTTCAGAATCTGCAAAGCTACAACAACTGTGCCATTAAAAAGCTCAGAGCAACCAGTAGCTCAGTTCACAGACAAGAACTGAGCGGATGGCTGCCATGTTTGATTGTTGCACTAAAGACCAAATTGCATTAAAAGTCAATCAGTGTAAATATTCTCAGTTCAGAAGCTCTGGCTCTCGTTTTTAGACGGCTGTACAAAAATGTTTGCTTCGTTTCTCATCAGCTGCTTTTGTTTCCGTTCTGTTAGAAAATCTTAGTAAAGACAGATAGTGTCTTATTCTTACCTTTTCAATTTTCTCACTTTCTGTCATGTTACAAACAAAAACTTGAATCTATGTCATGCGCTGCAGAAGTAAAGACATCACTTTGAAGTGGAATAAAATCATTTCTAAAAAATATTACTGCAAATTTTACAAAATGCACCATGAATTTGTATCCACTGTCTTTTATATCAGCTCACATAAATAAAATCTAGTGCAAACATTTCCATTCAGAAGTCGCCTAAAATCCATTTGTGAGTAATTCAGAATAAATAAATGAGAGAATATGGAGATCAGCTTTATGTCAACTAACAAAAACCAGAGCAGATCAGGATCCTGACATTAGTTTGTTTGACCGATTCACCGAATGACGGCGTTAACCAGAAACCATGAAGCACATTGTAATTGGAGGAGCTGCAGAGATGCACAGCTCAGGTGGGAGAACCTGGGAACATGACAGCCTGAACTCTAACAATCACAGCAAAGAAAACTCAATGTTTGGTACAAAATCTACAGGAGACATACAGAAAAATGTTCTTTAATCAGATGAGACCAAAACTGAACCTTCAGGCTTCAGCAGCAAACTGAGAGTTCACATCCGACAGCACAGCAGCTGCTCCCACAAGCTGGACAATGTGAAACCAATTCGCTTAATGGAAACAACATTATAAGGTTTTCAATGAAACGTTTTCGTGCTGGAATGAAGCAGTTTTGCAATGAAAACACTTTTCTCACATCACACAAGCCACATGTTCACACTACTGCTGAAAAAGACGAAGACAGGAAGCAGCAGGACGACACGGCTTGTTTTTTATTCTGACAGCCACAGAAAAAATCTCAGCTTCTCTTTGTTCATAGAGCGTCGTGTCATGCAGAGTGTTGAATATCGCAGCCGTAGCCACGTATTTCAAATGAATTTAAATAAAATGTGAAAACTATGAATTCTTTGGCTCCACTCCAGAAGTCTGCTCCTTGTGTTGGTCTTTCTCCTCACATCCCAATGAAATCCACTGAAGTTTGTCGTCACATGACAAAATGTGATGAAGGTACCGATACTTTAGCACCGGTACTTTAGCACCGATACTTTAGCACCGATACTTTAGCACCGATACTTTAGCACCGATACTTTAGCACCGGTACTTTAGCACCGGTACTTTAGCACCAATACTTTAGCATCGATACTTTAGCACCGATACTTTAGCACCGATACTTTAGCACTGATACTTTAGCACCGATACTTTAGCACCGATACTTTAGCACTGCATTTTGTATTTATTTTCTATTTCCAGCCTTTTTTAATGACACATTTTCATTTCCTTTACAAGAGAAGCCCATCGTGGTGTTATTGTTAATATCTGTAGTTTTTTCCTAACGTCTTACTAAATGCATTCAGACTTTCCTTCTGTCTCCTGCCTGAGTGCAGAGATCAGGTTTAAAGGGTTTGAACACATCAAACATAGATGAGCGAACGGCCGGCCGCTCGGGAAAACCTAAAGGAGACGTTCCCTGTCAGAGACTTGGTCTTTACATCCAGGATCAAAGCCAGCTCCGTTTCACCACCCACTTTTTCCTAATGGGAAGTTTAATCACCACCGACTGTAAGCAACAGCTGCAGGTCAGCAGATGGGATGGAAGAGTTCACTCTGTCTCTTTATTCAACCTCCAGCCACGATTATGTTAGAAAATAGGCAAAGATGGTTTAGCTATCCACTAATAGTTGTATTTCATGATCCTAAAGTCAGCTGCTTCGTTACTGCTAATGTTTTTCTTTGGTTAAAAATCATAACTGTGAAAACCTCCATGCATTGAGCCTTTGAGGAAGGCAGTTCTAACGGCACTGTGAGGAAAACGGAGCAGAATCAGAGCTGAAGGCTGACCTCCGCCTGCCTCCCTCCCAACGCTCCCAGGAGAAACCAGAACCACGGAGACCAAGACAGGCGAAGGACGGAAACAGATTATTCTTTGAAGACGTGAAAAGTCTTTCATGTCTTCTGTGCTCAGGACAATATGGCCGACGTCACTTTCAATCATGAAGTAGCTTTACATCCACAGTTCAACTTCAGGAGTTTAAAGAAGCTTCTTTGTCAACTTTGTGCTGAACTGAGAGTGAATTTCACAGACAAAAATGATTTTTGAGGACCAATCCGCCCATGTGACTGGATCTGGAACGTTTCATGGAATCTTGTTGGGAATCACCTGGGAAAACATGAGGAACCATGTGATGCACATGCTGTGTTTGTTGGCCCTAAAAACAATTTTAATCAGAAAGAGCAATCGGGAGCCTGAAACCAAACAACTAAAATCAGAAGAATAGAGATAGAAACCTGCAATTAAAAATATCAACCGCAAACATTTACATACCGAAACATAAAATGGAGGGAAATGTTGGGAAATACAAGACAATAAAGAAATGGGAACATTTCTGAAAGGTGAGGTTTTGTTCCCCTGGTTTGCAGTTTATTTTGTTATATTTTCCTGGATGTTTCCTTCATCTAACGTTTCCATAACTTCACCTGTTTCTTCCTCACGCTGCGTTTTGCCTCAGTTCTGGCTTCACAGCAGGACGGCGGGCCCTGGTGCAGACTTCAGCTGCAAAACACGTTTATTTTTAAAAAATGTAAAACAGGTTTTTACCTGGGAGGTTCGGCGCACAACAGGTAACAGAATACAGAAATAATCAGGAACTAGAGAATCGATCAGGGAACATTTCAACAACAGATGCAAGTTTCAAAGTTTTGACGGTTTGTATCATCACTTTCCATCTGGCCAACATCAATCCCTGCATTCAGGCTGAAAATAAAAACTATATGAAAATATGTTCAAGATTTGACGTTTTCTTTGTTTTGACTGAGACGATGACCTTCTGTAAAATGTAACTTAAATAAAATCTGTAGTATTTGCGTTTTGCTCCTTTGCACTCAGACCAGGCTGGCAGATCCATCAGACTACATCCAGATTTAATCATCTGAGCTGCTTTTATTAGTGGTGAAACCAGCACAAAACTTGAGTTGATGCTTTATGTGGGAAAAAAATCTGAATTTTGAGTTTCGCTATCTTAAAAAAAAAAGAAAAAAAAAAAAGTCAAACTTAAAAACTGAAAGTAAAGATTTTTACTCCCTGTTGTTCCAATCAGCTGAAGTTAAATCTTAAAAAACTCATAATTTTCTCTCCTGAAGTCCTTGAAAATGAGCAACAGACAGCAACACAAACAGCAACACTGCCCTTCAAGGACCAGCAGATGGCTTAAATAAAGCAAAGGGAAGAACTGAAGAGCAGGAGGAATCACGCAGCCTTGATTCCAGATTGTCATGAACTGCCCTAGTTCACCATGGTGAAGCTAAAACTGAGGCAGCAAAGCTCAGGGAATCAACAACCTTTCCTGACGTCAACATTTAACATCCTGACTGGCAGACAGCTGGTCTGTCCTGGTGTTTTAGAGCTGTGAACCGTCAGATGATGGGGGATCCACTAGTGAATAATCTGATTATTGAAGTTATCTTTGGACCTAAAGAAGAACAACAGAGTCAACACACAGCTTCAGTTATAACAGCTGGAAACCAGAGATCAGGATGAACTCTGACCTGAAGCTTCAGAGCCACATAAAGACAGTTACAAAGTCAGCCTTTCATCACTTGAAGAACAGTTCCGAGATTAAAGGACAGACGTCCTTTGTTCATTTAAATTTTTATTGACAAACCTTTTGTAAAGTGCCTTGAGATAAATGAGTACTTCACTGAAGAACTGGATCAATATTAATCTGCCTGTAACGTTTGTCATCATGTGAAGACCTTTGACCTTCCTGCTGAAAGCTGCAACACTAACAACTCCTGTCTGACGGCCTTTAATGCTGCAATTAAAGCTGATAAGCATGAAGATGTTAATTATCTGATTAATAGCTGAAACTTTTTTATTTCCAGTTCTGACCCGGCCATTAAATTTTGCACATTAACAGATGCAGTCAGGGCTTAAATTGCTTGACATTGCCATGTTTGTGCTTGTGACTCCCCCTGCTGGTATGTTATAGATCTACTGAAGGTCCTTCTGTCAAACACCAGAAAAAAAGCATTTTTCTGTTTGACTTGAGTAAATATCCTCTAACTTTAAAAATCACTGCAAACAGAAATATTTTTGCAATAATTATTGTTTTGTAGTGTCAGAGCTGCTGCTGTTTTATCACGCTGGGAACCATAGAGGGAAAAGTTTCAAACAATGCCAAGACAACATGTCGAGGGTATTTATTTAAAAGATAAAATATGCAGTCATTATCCTGAACACGCAACTATCAGAAAACGCTTCGAGTCGTTTAAAAATCAAATGGACATGCGAGGACAGTTCGGTCTGCCAATACATAGAAATCTGCAGGTAGAAGTTTTGATCTTCTCACTGGTTTCCTGCGATGCAGCGAACCGGAGAAAAACCAAACACTGTTGGCTCAGTGTTCCCAGATCACGTCTGTCAATACGGAGTTTCAAGTTTAACAAGTTTTAAACACTGTAAACATTCACAAAAGTAAAACACTGTAGCAGACTGGTACAGTACGTGTTCATTGATATTATAATGCAAGAAGTAAAACGGCGTCTCTGTGCAGTTCAAAAATATTACAGTAAAAGAAGCAAATATGTCACATTTAGCTGCTGTTACCAAATCAACCGTCATTTTAAAAAAAACAGGTTATAGGAAATATTGTAGCTTTAGGAAAAATAACCACAAAACAAGATTTTTTTATATAAAAAATGTTTTTTTTAAACAATTTCAGTATAAAACATCACATATTCCCAGGCCAATCAAACAAATTCACGGTCATTTCAATAATCATGAACTCCCCAGTCAAACGGACTACAATGACATAAAAAAAGGATTTACTGCAGTTAAGGGGGTTTTCTGTACTTTTAACTATTTACGGGAGAAATATACCAACACAAAGTCTAACAATCACTCTTCGTTTGTTATAATATTAATAATAGAAAAGAACAAATGTGAACTCCTGGTCCGAACAAAGCCCAAGCCCCCAAATTTCCGGTCAAGGTGGCGTGCTTCTACGCAGTCTTCTGCTGGCCCTTCTTCCCGATGAGGGATTTGTGGATGTGAGGGATGACACCTGACAGAAACACACCACACTTCAGTCAGACTGAAACCACCACACACACAAACCGAGCGTAACGATGTACAAGGAAAATAAAAGCTCCTCACCTCCACCAGCAATAGTTGCTTTGATGAGAGAATCCAACTCCTCGTCGCCGCGGATCGCCAGCTGCAAGTGGCGAGGAGTGATACGCTTCACCTTCAAGTCTTTGGAGGCGTTTCCTGCCAACTCTAGTACCTGATAAGACAACACGCGTTTACCAAACATTCAGACACAGCAGAGCAACAAGCACACCCAGAGCAGGAGGACGTACTTCAGCGGTGAGGTACTCCAGGATGGCGGCGCTGTAAACGGCCGCTGTGGCTCCGACGCGGCCGTGGCTGGTTGTGCGAGTCTTCAAGTGTCTGTGGATACGACCCACTGGGAACTGGCAGGAAGCAGTGAGAAAAAAACCAAACAAAGCAACTAAATCTTTCAGTTCGAATTAACACCTGCGGCTCAAAAACCACAAACTGCCAAACGAAGAGAAGATTTACCTGCAGCCCGGCCCTCTGGGAGCGCGACACGGCCTTGGCCTTGGCTTTCCCGCTGTCTTTTCCTGCCTTTCCTCCTGCCTGCAGAGAGACGCTGCCTGTTAGCAACTAAACAACAAACTAAAACAATTAACAGAAGCAATTTACAGATTCAGACTGAAGATTGAGCTCATATAAATAAAGATGAATATTATAATGAAAATTAGAACTGATTCAACAACACTCAGATAATGCAACATTATTTTACATTTCAATTATAAACTCAGATTCAATTAATGTGGACCAGCCTTCATTCATTTGATCTGAAATATCCCAAAATATTCATTTAAAATACAAGTTTAAGATTTAATAAACCTCAATTCTACTTTTACAAAATCTTTTAATGTTTTTGGACTTTAGATTAAGTTTAAAGACCTTCAACAGGCATCCATCTGGAGAATCAAAAATACCTACAATAATCAAAACCAGATTATTCTGCAGCGGTTAGAAACAGTTTGATTTATAAACCCTCCATTTTGCAATTTAAATTTGACTTTTTAATTATTTAAATAACTTCAAATAAAATCCATCTTAAAATTGATAAGAATAATCCAATCTGGGATAAATTTGCTGATTTTGTCCTAGTCAAAGTCATACATGTGCCTAATAAAAAAGAAGATTTAAACAATTATTTTCAAATTAAATAAAGTGTTTACATAATATATTTTGATCAAAATAATCTACTGCAGATCATGCTCAGTATTTTACATCATGAACCAGATGTAGTCCTGATTACTGAAATAGAAGAAATGTCCCTTTATTCAAGCGCCGATTCGGATGCCAACTTCAGCGCCGAACGTTACAGACGGTCGGTTGAGCAGCTTGGCTTTCCCGCCAATCTTAAACAAAACAAACCCAAAACCACAGACACACAAGTCAGGCAGAACCGCGAGCCTGAGCGCGACCTGCACCCGAACCGGCTCTGAAACCTGCTGATGTTCATCAAACAGGCTGTAAAACAATAAAAACAAAAACATAAGCTGTCAGGGGCTGACGTCAAAACCCCCCCTAAACTCCCCACACCACACCACACACACACACACACACTGAGCGGTCAAGTTTTCATTCACAGCCATTACAAAAGAAAAAGTTCCCTTTCCATCTCCTCTGGCTGCTGGGAGGGAACCCAAACGGTTCCCGTTAATCCAGTCACTGATGCGACAACTTCCAGAAGACTGAAGCAGCTCAGCAAACATGTTGACCAGCCTGATAATGAGTTTAATACCATTTCACATGAGCTACAGGCCGTAAAAATGACCCTTTGGTTCTTTAAAGCCTGCATTGTAAATGAATCTCTGCGCCGGAAATAAAAATGAAGAATGAAATTATAATGTAGCCCTGAACCGACGGCTGAAGCAGCGCGTGCTAAGTCGTTAGCTGACAGCCCGTTCAGCGAAGCTCTCGAGTCACATTCTAGTCGAAATTTCTCAGCTCTAATTCAAAACAGCACTTTCTGCCCTCTGTGTCCTTATTACACAAAAAATACTCTGTCGCCTCGGGAATGCATTCGGCATTAGTCGGAGTTTACGTACCATTTTTTTCGTCTGGAAATCTGATTGAAGAACTGAGGAGTAGCAAACAATTTCAGCTCCCGAAAGCAAAGAAACAATAAAGCCCTTTGCAAATCTTTTGCTTGCGACCCCTCGCGGGAGCAAGGCCAGCCAATCAGATCGCGCGTTGTTACTTCGAATCTGCCGCTCAGCCAATCACCGAAAGACGTGCAGAAAAACCAACCATCCCCCACCCGAAGATCTCCGTTGCTCTGTTTTTGCGCACGGAACCAACAAGTAGGCGGGACTACGTGTGTGTGGATGTCCTTCCAGTCACATTCATCCCCAAAATGTACGATACAGTCAGTCATAAAGTAGAAATTAAAAGTTGAATTACATAAGGTCGGTATTTATAGCGACTTTTACTATAACATGCATTAGGAAAGAGGTGTCCCATTGACCCATGCAGAAGTTCAGGGCGGTAGAAATAAATGTGATATTCATTTAATACTTGAGGATAGCTGTCATAGACGTATAAGAATAGATGCTTTCATGTGAGGCAACGTCGCCGCTATATTCAGAGTGGCATTTTGTTGAAACTCATAAAAAAGACAAATCAGTTCGAAGGGTTTTAGGTACAAAGTGTGACTATGATCTATTATGACACTGTAAGATATTGTCTCACCTTTATTTTAAATAACGTCTGTCACCCAAAACCACAGGGACTTCTCTCAAACATGTCATTGAGTGGAGGGAATATCAAAATAAACTATGCTCGTAAGCTTAATGGAATGAAAGAAATTATAAGGAAAAATCTGTTTCACATTTGCAAAACTAAGTGTAGTTTATTTTAAGTAACATTTATTTTAATTGGTGCTGGTTACAGTTATTAGTATTCACACACAAAGAATATGTTGTGTGTGAAAAATATTTAATAAAATTAAATAAATAAAATATTTATTTATTTTGAAAGTGCCCGCCCTAATATGGTGGACACACTGACGTACCGTTTTTTGTGGGGCAACGTGTGGTCTACTCTTCTATGTCTATGAAAGCTGTTATGATTCGTAAATAAAATGTCATATGGAAGGCAGAGCTTGATATGATTGGCAGAGAAAAGGACGAATGAAAACACCGAATCTTTTTATAATCTTTCATTGGCAGCAGAATTAGCCAATCAGCGCCCAGAAAGCAGCGCCCGCTATTCTCCGCTAGCTCTGCTACCAGAGGAGAAAGAAGGGGGAGGGTTTGGGGGTCAGAGATAGTCGGAGAGACGGGCTGCTGGTGGCGAAGATGGCGGATGGGGATAGCGGTAGTGAGCGCGGTGGCAGCAGCGGCGGCGGAGGGGGAGGAAGCGGTGGATTTCAGCATTACCAGCGGGAGCCAGAGACACAGGAGCTGGCTTCGAAGCGCCTGGACATTCAGAACAAACGCTTCTACCTTGACGTGAAGCAGAACGCCAAAGGCCGGTTCATCAAAATCGCAGAGGTCGGCGCCGGGGGCTCTAAAAGTCGTTTGACCCTCTCCATGTCAGTTGCTGCCGAGTTCCGCGACTATCTGGGGGATTTTATAGAGCACTACGCCCAACTCGGGCCTAGCACCGCGGAGCAGATCGCTCAGTCGTCCGGAGGGGATGACAGCGGGCCTCGACGGGCCTTGAAGAGCGAGTTTTTGGTGCGTGAGAACCGAAAATACTACCTCGACCTGAAGGAGAACCAGCGGGGTCGGTTCCTCCGGATCCGACAGACCGTCAACCGAGGCCCCGGTTTCGGCGTCGGAGTGGGAGGCTTACCGGGTGCCGGCATGCAGTCCGGCCAAACCATCGCTCTCCCGGCCCAGGGCTTAATAGAGTTCCGCGATGCTTTGGCCAAGCTGATAGACGACTACGGGGGAGACGAGGAGGAGCTGGCCGGCGGCGGAGGGGCCGGGGGCTACACCGAACTTCCGGAGGGCACGTCGATCATGGTGGACTCCAAGCGCTTCTTCTTCGACGTCGGGTCCAACAAGTACGGGGTCTTCTTGCGGGTGAGCGAGGTGAAGCCCAGCTACAGGAACTCTATCACGATCCCCTTCAAGGCGTGGAGCAAGTTCGGCGGAGCGTTCAGCCGCTACGCCGAGGAGATGAAGGAGATCCAGGAGCGGCACCGGGACAAGATGTACGAGCGGAGAACCGGAGAGGAGTCGGAGGGAGACGACGTGGACGACGATTGACGCAGCGGGAGAGGCGGCTTTCTGTGGGCTACAGTTGACAACATGATGCAAAGCCTGGAGAGAGGAGCGACTATTTTGTGCATGACGAATCGAACTATAAAAAAATGCTTAAAAAAAAGTATATTTGACTGAGAAATTTATGTAAGAGAAACATGTTCTAAAGTTTAGCTGGATGTTATTGCTAAAATGAGTGCAGACTGCAGTAGTCAGCCTCTGTATGAGATTCCCCGTTGATAAAGTATATTCTATTTAATATATATCTATCTATCTATATATTGATTGTCCCATTGATAACCTCACATGTAGCCCAGCAAGTTCAGTTAGGCAGAAACACAACAGTTGGTTACCTGGACTCCTGCTTGTTATCCAATGGTGAGAGCTCACTCAGTGCTGACCTGCAGTCTGTGACGATGAGGAGGATGAGGAAGAGTAAAATGTGACATACTCAAACCAGCAGTGGCTGTGAGGGAGTGCTGGCATCGCTCACCATGGCTGTTTGTGCTTTTTCTAAAGCGATCAGAACCAAACGGCTCGTCCAGACGGAACCGCCGCGTCCAGCAGGCCTGGGGGCAGAACGCCCGGCCCCGGGGGCAGAACGCCCGGCCCCGGGGGCAGAACGCCCGGCCCCTGGGGCAGAACGCCCGGCCCTGCCCGGCCCCGGGGGCAAAACGCCCGGCCCTGGGGGCACTAGGGTTACCTGCTGTAAGCACATGCCATCTCAGCCTCTCCAGTCCAGACGTTGTGCTGACCCTTGACCCTTGCTGCGGCGCTGAGGCCTGCTCAAACGTGGCTTGTTGTGTCTCAGGGCTAAAGCATAAAACTAAAATCCAAGCCCACATGTTTTTTGGGAGGATTTCCCAGCATTCCCTGTGCCTGTCGCTGCAGCCGAGTCATCCGGTGTGGGCCACCTTTGACCTTTGACCCGGTGGCCTTTTCGTTCACGCTGGTGTCACTGTTTCCCAGCTGCAGCTTAGCGTTGCCAGGTTTGATCTAGAATCACCTCCAGGGTCGTCCGTGTTGACTTGCTTAGGGTGCATCATTTGGATCCTCGAATCTTGAACTCTGACCTTTTACGACTGAAGCAACTTTCAGTCTGATTGTAACAGAATAAATTAGGTGCTTTTGAAAAAGAACCTCCTGCAGTTGTATCTAAAAGAGATATATATGTACATATATATATATGTACTGAAAGAGATTTACTAACGAAAAAAATTGATAGAATTATTTTTAAAGAAATATATTCAAATATGTCTTAGAAATATGAGATTTATTAGATAATGCTGCCTAAAGTGGCCTATTTAAAACACTAAACTTGGATGCAATGGTCCAGGGTTATATTTCATACCTGATTTTCTTTTTTTTCCTAATATATCTTTTATTCCTTAGAGGAAACTCAAGAGAACAACAGATTGGTTCCTCCGTATGTTAAAGCAATTTGTAGAAGCAGCTTCTCTGAAGTCTGCGAACTCTCAGCACTCCAGGTCACTTTACCGCTTCGTTTCGTTCCCTCCTTTCAGTCCACCGCCGTTTTTCACTCCACAGCGTTTTCCCATCCACTGGCTTTCCATCAGTTGCCATGCGACAAACGTAAACACCTGCAGCCGTCAGCGTTTGGTCCGTCGTGCTCCTTTTACTGACGTTTTCTCTTTTGCATGCCTGCTCTGACGCAGAGCCGCCTTCTGTTCTTTTCTTTCTGCATTTTCAGATTTGCTGTATAATGGTATTTATCCTTTTTTTTTTTTTGCGCAGTTGCAAGTTTTATTTCTGTGCTGCAATAGACAGAAAGTTTACTTTTCAGCCTGATGGTTTTAAACGGCCGCAGCGTTCCCGTGTTTTTTGGGGAAACTTCACTTTCATCGTCTCTCTTCCTTTTGGTTTGAAAACTTCTCGTTGAATTTTACTTTCCCCTCCAACACAGCAGAGAAATGCCATATATATACATATATAAATATAAAAAATACATGGGAGCAATAGATTTTTTCCTTTTCTATTGATATAAATATCCTATATATAAGGTTACACATGCGATTTGAACTACATCCTTCTTCTTGTACTGTGTTACGTGAAATGGCAGCTGTTTCACTCGTGTGTGTTCTGCTGTAATATTCTACCTTTCAACGAGAAATAATAAAAAAAGGTTTTTGCTCAGGAGAGTCGTTGTGTTTTTCTTGATCCTGTTTCCACAAATAGTTCCTCATTTTTAGATCTGCATCAAACACATGGGGGTAAGTTTCTCCTTTTTCTGGCTAAAGTATTAATACTTATTTCCATTTATTAATGTCTTTAATTCATTCTGCTAGAATCATATCAAACCTTTATGTTGTAGAAACAGTTTAAAATAAACTCATTAACTATCAAACGCTTCAGGTTAAACACAAAATACATTTTAACATCTGAGGTTCTGAGCAGTTATTTGAAGCTGCATAAATATTAAAGCCAAGAACTTTTCATATATAGTAAATGAAATTTAATAGTATTTATTCAGATTTATTACATATGAATAGTATTCATATATATTTTTGATGCTGCTGAATGAAGCATCTTCTGTTTGGAAAGTTTTTATTTGTACATTTCTGTTCCAGATGTTTTTTATGAAAGATTTTTTTCTCTGATCCACTTTAAAAGTCTGAATCATGATTTATGATTTATGGACGAACCAAACAGGACGAGTCGCCGTTTCCTCCGTCTCATAACAACGACTTTAACCCTCTCGGGCTCAAATTACTTGAAAATACTGTTTAAGTTGTTACAAATCTGCAACCCCTGCCTGGAGAGGGTTAAATGAAACCAGAGCAGCTGCAGCTGGAAACGGAAAAGTTTCAATATTTCAACTTTTTGTTTTCTCTGATTGTTTTTTAGTTAACTTGGTGCTTCAGTGTTTTAGTTATTTAATGTGCCGACTTCTAAAAGTTAAAATTCTGCAACTTTTTAACATCTGTCATTTAACCACTTCAAGATTTCTGTTTTCTTTTGCTTTGTTTTTTTTATCTAATAATTTCCCCTGGATTCCTTGGATTGAAAATAATCTGTACATCCTTGAAGCTGCAGCAGAAAAACTTTCATGCATTTTTATGTAGATGTTTTCTGAGCTGTTGCCTCATTTTAAACCTTTCAGCAATGAAGTCAGTTATATTCTGCTTTCAAAACACAGTTTGCACTTAATGTGATCATAACCTCAGTAACTCTGGCATTGCTACATGCTGCTTGGAAATATGCAAGATTCAGCATTTTTGAAGCTAAATATGGAATAAATTATTCTCTCACACATTATGAAGCTAAATAAATTCATATTTATTGTATATAAAAGTCTTTTTTTAGTTTTCTTTAATGTGTCCCATCCAGCAGCCTGACACTCAGAATCATTCTGACTGTGAAAATGCTTTATTAAAAATATATATTATTAGCATGCAAAAGTGCAGGGATCTGTTGAAGCATGAATTTCATTATTTAAGTCAAAATTATGTTTTAAAGAATCTATTTATGTCTTCCTCTGGAGTCTTGAGGGCCACATAAAATACTGCAGCGGGCCGGATTTGGCCCCCTGGCCTTGAGTTTGACACGTTTTCACCAAGGTTACTATAGTTATTGTAGCTAAAGCAGTAATAACAATAAAGCTATAGTTATTATTGTTATCATAATAACTATAATAACCATAGTTATTATTGTTATAGCTAAAGCAATAATAACTATAATAACTATAGTTATTATAGCTAAAGCTAACAAGATCATGAAAACTGAGTTGGCAACTTACGGTTCTCCAAACTCCTGCTGGTGACAGCAAAAGTTGCAAGAATAAATTATTAATATCCTCCTCCTCTTCCTCCTCCTCTTCCTCCTCCTCCTGGTGATGAGCAGCACACAGAGGTGAAATGAAGAGCGATGAGGCGCTAATGTGTTTGAGTCACAGGGAACAGTTCAAGGCCACGTGGTGCAGGCTGAGCCGGGCGCCAGAGGAGGAGCGGATTAGTGGCCTCGGCGTCCTGATGGCCTGCTCCAGAAACACAAGCCCCGCTAAGCTGCCATCCATCACCAGGAGCAGGTGATGAGGGACGGACCGGCTGATCTCCAGAACCGGAGCCTCAGGTTTGCTCACCCGATAAATGACGTGAAAGGGTTTAAGGCCGAGTGTTTACCAACAGCATCTGTCATAAAACTTTAATCCGTTCAAAGAGCACGACTGAGATCATGAACTGTGCAGGACAGCAGCTTGTAAGTCTTCATTCTCCATTCAGTCAGAAAGAGGGATCGATGCTCACAACTGGAGAAGAAAACGGGAAAAGCAAAAGGCTGTGGCGTTTTTGTTAAAGCTGCAGAATGTAACTTTATTTTATTTTTTTTCTACATTTTTTCTGAAACTGTGGTGACAGTTTGCTATGAGACAGATAATCTGTGAAAACGTCAATTACCATCAGAAGAAATGCACCAAAAACAACCAATCAGAGCCAGGAGGAGGGGCATAGCGCTGTTAATCATCCTTTGGTAAGTGCTGCTAAATGTGCTGATGGAGGGGAAAAACAGCTTACCATACGTACAAGAATAAAATGTTTATTTGCCTTCATCAGTGGTTATGCTAAATCAAATGAGGAATTATTTTATCTCATACTGAAGGCAAAATGTTTGTGACCATTTATGTTTTATATCAGGCAGCTTTGAGTTGAGGCAACAAAAAGAAAAGGGATAAATGTTGCTGCAGTGACTGATAAAAATGGAAAAACTGAAGAAAAAACAGAACAAACTAAACTTAGCAAAAGTAGAGAAAGAAACTGACACAAAGATGTGACCCATTGACTCTGACAGAGCGAGTCATGAAAGCAGCTGCTGATTAAATCAATTTATTTCTGAGCTTCGCAGAGAAAACTGGAGTTTAAAATGCAGAAATGAACCAGAAATCCAGACTTTTCTGATCCGAAACTGGAAAAATCAAACCTGAAGCTGGAATTACTTCTTGAAAATAAAAGTTTTTCACCAGCCAAGTTCAACATCCTCCGTTAAATATGAGGAAAATAATAATCTGCTAAAGTTCATCTCAAATTGGCTGCATTTTTCTGAAATACATTTCAAATAATTCATCAACTGGATCTGCTTTTTAAGAATGTACTACAAAATTCAACATAACTTTAGATATTTTTGGTACACTTCATAAAAATCTATATTTTATTAACTATACTATATATATTACAATTAAAATGGAAATAAAATAAAACTTTAGATAGACTTAAAAAAACAAAAAACGCTTTAAAGTTGTTTGAAAGAATTATATTTTTAATGCAAATTATATAAATGTAAAATATCTTTCAGAAGTTGTACTTTCAAATAAATGTTATATCAATATTTAAACCTTAGTTTTGAATCATTCTTAAGATAAATAACAAAATCATAATAATAATAATGATAATTTCCATATATTTATGTTTTGGTGATGGAGGATTTGCTCCTTCATCAATAAACGAGACTCTGCAGCTCCAATAACAACAGTAATAAATAATAATCCATCAGCAGCAGCAACCTGAACGAGTCATCGGGGAAATGGGTCATAGCTGACGATGCCTGGCGGAACCGGCCGCTGCTTTGGACCCGAGCAGAAAAAATATCCTGTAATACTGGGATTTATTTATAGCCTGTTGATCAATTCATCCTGAGCTCCCTGGAAAAAACACATTTCTATACAGCGATGACGATCCGCTCAGTTTGAATCAGAAACAGAAATATTATTATTCATGTATCATTATTGACCACACAGACCTGAAGAAACATCTTGTTTTTTTTCTTCAGAACTGCATTGATTGGTTTCAGCTTGGCAGTGAAACAATTAATCAATTGCAATGAATCAATTACTTTCAGCTACTTCAGTAATCGATTCATGACTAACTGGAGAATAAAATCAGAATGACCATTTGCTGAAAGAACTCAGAACAATAATTTGCATCAAAACATTCATTGTGCATTTAAAAACTCTTCGTCTAAAACTCCTCGAGTCGTTTCAGCTTAACAAACTCTTAATAATCACCTTTTCTCTTCCAATAAATAACTGCTCAATCCAATAGATTGTCAATGCATCAGCAGAATTTCCTGCACCAGTCTGAAACCAAACACAGCAGCGCCGCATGGAGGGGCGCCGCCTGCAGAGGGCGCCAAAACGATGGGAAAAATATTTCTACTCAGCATTTTCTCTATTTTACTATCGAGTGTTTGGGCCACACTAAGAAAATAAAACAAACAAATTATGAGGGAAAAAGTCATAATAGTCTTGTAATATTAACTTTATTCTCAAAATATTATGACTTTCTTCTAATATTAAGAATTTATTCTTGCATTATTTCAGCTTTATTCAAGTACAAATTTATTTGTGTAATATCATAATTTTTGTTTAGTTCTCGTATTATTTCAACTTAACCTTGTAATTTAATATTTTATCTAAATACTAAAAAACCGTCTAATACAGCTTTTTGTCAAAGTGTTCAGATTCACTCAGCTGAACAATGAAGCCCTTTGGCGTCTGGAGAGGCCTTATGATGGTATAATGCAAACCTGATAAAGTTCACAGGATTACAACAAGCATGTTTCCCAGTTGACTCGAGGAATTGAAGCCGAACCTCGACTCCTGCAATGATTCTTGTCCGTTTTGGCCAAACTGCTCAATCTTTGTCTGCTAAATCCTCCAGAAAGCTTTTAGCTTCTGGTGTCGACCTCATTAAGAGACTTCAGAGCTGTGTGAAAGTAAACATTTCCGTTTACGTTCTTAAAGTGAAGAACACCACTGATGTCCAGGGAATATTTAAAGGCTTAAATATGGCAGTAGTACCTTAAAATGCCAGACGGTGGCAGCAGAGACTAAGTGTTTTTATCACTTCCTCTGTTCAACTCAAAAGAGAAAAAGATTCATGAATCAGGTGAGAATCAGAAGTTCAGATGAGATAAAACTGATTTTAACGAAATGATGCTAATCTGACAGAAAGAGGTGAAGGTTTCTGACGTCATCCAGGAAATACAGACAATGATCACTTCCTACTCTGAGTCACAACCAATCATTTGACATCTTTTGTTACTTCTTAATTTTTATTAAATACATTTTTTGCAACAAAAAAAAACAACAAAAACAGAGGATTTAAAGGGAGAATTAGAACAGCTAGGATCAGTGCAGATACATAAGA